ACTCACCGCCCCCTCCTATTGATGCCAAACCATTAAAGGGGGAGGCTCTCCCGGCCCAGCAGCGCAAAGTCTTGAAGGAACCTGAATTTACAATGATAAAAGGGCCAAGGCACTAGCCTTTCACCTTTGGAGGCAATTAGCATCTGGCTTGCTTCACAAATGAAGTAAATGTGGGCTCCCCTTTGGTTCCTGGAGCACGCTTAGGGTTGGGGGAGTTAACATCACTGGGAACAAATTAACTTGCTTTTTTTTGGGGGGGGGGGGGGGGGCAGGGGGGGGGGGGCGCGGGGGGGGGGGGGGTGCCACCGGCCAGAGCCGCTGATGCTGCGCCATGATTGCCATGGCAACGGGCAGAAAAATCCAGCTATTTATAGGAGAAAAGCGAGCGGGAACCGGAGCAGGAGCCGGACACGGGCCCTGCTGGGGATGGGGTGCCGGCATCTCCCGGCACGGCTGCACCGTCCCCTTATGAGGCACGGTAACACCATGGTGCTGCCGGCAGCCAGGGCTGAGCTGTGCCAGGCCCCCAGGTGGGTTTTGGCAGCCCCACGGCGTCGGCGGTGCCCAGGTGGGGGCAGGTGGCGGGCAGCGTGCTCGCGCCACACCGGGCCCTAAGCCTTGCCGTAATTAACCCGCTAATCCAGCCTAAGAGCCTTACGGCGCTTCGGGCACCACCGGGCACCCCTCTGCCAGCCGGGGGGACCACTGGCGGGCACCCTCGGCACGGCATGCGGCACAAGGCGGGGGGAGCTGTTGGCACAGGGGGGGGGACACCAGCCAGCCCCGGAGGGAGGCAGGTGGCAGGCAGCACCGCAAAACCCCTGCCCGCAGTCGGCGGCGTGGGCTACTGTTTGCCAGCCTGGGGTGGCCACCCCCCCACCCCCCCCGCCTTGAGCCAATATTTGAGCTGGCGCGGTTCCATGGGGCGGGTTTGGCAAAGCCGGAGGAGATGCCGGATCCCGTGCCACCAGTGGGTTGTCACTGGTGTCTGTCCCCCCCTCCCCGCCACCCCAGGGCTTGTGACTCACGTGCCCAGGACCTCTCTGAAGTCGTAGATGCGCCGAATGTCCTCTGTCCTCTTCTTCCAACTGGGGCCATCCTGCCCCAGCGGCATGGTGCCCCGTGGGGGGGTGGGGAGGGGGCACCCACTCCCACCTGTGACACGAGTTGGGGGGGGAAAGACACACAGCACAGGGTGTCAGCGTGCTCTGAGGATGGGGTGGGGACGGGACATGGGGACACGGGGGTGCTGAGGGGACCTGCTGGATGGTTGTCACAGCGCGGTGATGGGGACAAGGTCTGTACCTTTGGCTCCAGCCCCCTCCCACGCAGGAATCTCGGCGTGGGGGGCCTCACGGGGGGGGACACACACTGGGCCCCTCCCGTTGCCCCCTCCTTTTGAAAAAGGCTGTGACCTCAAGCATCTCCCCGAATTATATATAAAATGCATTTAATGCTTCCGCCTGAAAGCAGCCAGCACATTCAATACACAACAGAACTAAAAAAAGAGAAAAATAAATAATCAAACAAAAAAACAGCGACACAGGAAGCCTTAAAACGTAACTGTATAAAACATGATTGATAACACACATTGATTAATTGAATCCCACCCATCACCGCGTTTTGGGGCAGGAAATATATTGTTTGTTTTTACTTCACCTTGATTTCCACTTTTCAGATTCAGGGGGCTGGAGACACATGACCGAATTTGCCCAGTTCTGCATTTTTTCAGTCTGAAGTCACCAACCCCCCCCCCCCCCCCCCCCCCCGCGCCCTCGATGGGAGGGAGGGGCGAGGATGCGACACGCGTGGGGTGGTGGCGAGTGGGGCCGTTGTGGGAAAGAGAGCGGATCCCTTCGATAGACAGGAGTGCGTCACTCGGGTACACGAGTGGGTCCGTGGGGACACGTGGAGGTCCCATGGCGGGACACAAGTGGGTCCCCCGGGGACATGCAGAGGTCCCTTGGGTAGACACGAGTGGGTGTCTTGACTGGATATGAGTGGGTCCCTTGGGGACACAAGTTGGTCCCTTGGCTACAGACAAGTGGGTAGCTTGGGGACACACGGAAGTCCCTTGGCTAGACATGAGTGGGTCCCTTGGGGACACGCAGAGATCCCTTGGCTAGCCACGAGTGGGTCCCTTGGGGACACGCAGAGATCCCTTGGCTAGCCACGAGTGGGTCCCTTGGGGACACGCAGAGGTCCCTTGGCTGGACCTGAGTGGGTCCCTCCGGGACATGCATAGGTCCCTTGGATAGAAACAAGTGTGTGTCTTAGCCGGACGCGAGTGGGTTCCTTGGCTAGACACGAGTGGGTCCCTTGGGGACACACAGAGATCCCTTGGCTAGACACGAGTGGGTCCCTTGGGGACATGAGTGGGTGCCTTGGCTGGACACCAGTG